TCTGCATGATGGGAGTATTTTTTTTTTTAAAAAAAAAGATCGAACCCGAGAATGGTCCTTGATGGATGATTGTTGTTTGATTTTTTGAAAAATAAGACCGAACCCGAAGGTTGCCTACGTACCTTGTCGAAACGAGAATCAGGTCAGGTGTAGTTCGGGAAGGTTAGAGACAAATGGGAGATGTTTTGGATTTTTTCTTTGAATTTCCTCAAGGGAAAAGAATTATATTTTAGATTTTGATATTGATGTCTCACAGGGAGACTTTTAGAGCAGCAACAGAGGAAGATGTATATGTGTTTAATTTTGATTTTTTTGAAATGATCTTTTCGCAAAGATCTTCGTTCAACTGTGACCCAAGTGGCCAGGCTTGACCTAGTCGTCCAGTTAAGGATGAGAAAAATCGGAACCATGACAGGTTGCCTACGTGTCTTGACACGAGGTCAAGAATAAGGCATACGTAGTTCATGAAGATTAAGGATAGAGGAAGATTTTTCGGACTTCATTGAATTTCCTCAAGGAGGAATTATGCGGGGGTATGTTTTTGGATTTAAATTTTCCTTTGATGTCTACAGAAAGACTTCGAAGCAACAAAGGAGATTATATACATATTGTTTTTATTATTTCAGAGATGACCCTTTCGCAAGGATCTTCGGTTAACTGTGACCCAAGTGGACAGACATGATCGACTCGTCCAATTAAGGACGAGAAACACCGGACCCATGACGGGTTGACTACGTATCTTGACACAAGGTCAAGAATCAGGTACGCGTAGTTCGTGAAGATTGGAGAGTATGAGGTATGAATTTCAACACTTCTTTTACTCTCCTATTTCAAGGCATTTCAACTAACTATATTAATTGCATCAAAGATATGTATGAAATGCAAGAGTATAGACAAACTCAGAGCGATTCCTCGTTGTACCCATGATTGGGTGTGGTATCTCTGGAGTTAAAGAGATTTTTCCTCCAGAAGATGTGCCCCAGCGTCTCCTTCGAATAGTTTCCTCGATGCCCATGACTGCTTGCGAGACAATTGTTGTGGTTGTCTCCCAATTAACTTGAGGGATGTTTTGTTGCGACCTTCCAGCTGTCCATATGATCCTTTTGGTGATTACACTCAGCTATTAGCCGGGGCAATTATCTGATGCATATATAGAAATATAGTAAGAGTAGTGTCGTCACAAAATGATGGAATCAAGAATGGTAACTAACACTCCCCTGTTTGTTCGGTTGATGTTCCATAGTGTCCGATATCGGATGCTATTTACCGTGCAGTCTCTAGAATGATAGAACTTTCGGCTGTCCACATGAATTATTTGACGATCATCCCCGGTTGACAACCGAGAACGAGGTTATGATCTGAATATAAAAAAGTGGTGAGAGCAGTGAAGTCACGAAAAATTATGGAGTTCATTGTAAAACTATTACTCCCCTAATTATATGACTGATGCTCCACCAAGTCCAAGACCAAATGTTATCTCCCGTGAAGTGCCCGGGATGATGTACCTGCAAAACTAAACGGAGAAAATGTTAGAGTCCCTACAGAAAAATATTACATAATTGAGAGGGTGCGGAGTTAGGTCGTGCAGCTAGTGGTGTATCCGATTGTGATTGGGAACACGATGTCAACATTCCTTGATAGTTTCAGAGATGATGTTGTCCCTTCTGCGTCCAAAGAAAAATTCTTAGTTCGAGGGAGGGAAGTTGATTCATGTTGACCTGAGGCTTTGCTCGTTCTTCTTTTTTTGTCCGAGTCATGCGGGAATGACACTCCTCGAAGGGTGACTAACAACATTCCCCTGTAACAAAACGGGTTGACTTGTATCGAATATCTGAATTTGGAAAGTGGGAGTGGACATCATGACTCCACTGCCAGATGTTTGAAGAAAGGATTTGCATCCCATATGTTGGGATTTAAGTCGAGTGATGGTTAGAGCAAAGTTGGCATGGTATTTTGATTTTTGGATTTTTGGTGAAATTTGGTTGACGCTCTCGGAGATTTCTGGGTTGAGAGCATCATTGCACTGTTCCAAAAGAATTGCCTCAATTTCTAGTACTAAGAAAATTATTTTGAAACAGTAGGGAGACTGAACCCTTATGTAGGGTTGCCTACGAATCTTGCCAAGGCAAGAATCAGGTCAAAATGTAGTTCGGGCTAACTACTGGAACTAAGAGATCTATATGGTTATCAAGAATAAGTGATTGTACTTTAAGAGAAATTGCGATTATGAATAAGAACTCTTGGCTAGGTGCGTGAAGATTGGTAACTCCTGAATAAGAGATAGATGATGGCATAACGCATGGATCTGTTTTAAATTACGGTAGTCAGTGGAAATGTGAAGTCTAATTGAGAAGGACATGTCAAATCAGTGGAAGATGTACCAAGTCGAATTGATGTATTTTTGGGAAAAGATGATATAGTCCAAAGGATGGTATGATTATAATGGATATTCATAAAGACCGGAATGGATATGTGTATTTGAAAGATCAAGATTCAACACAAATCAACCAGTGTTTAGTCAGACAAAGAGAACCTAACAGTAGGTAACAAGTAGAAGGCACATGTAACAGATAAAGAATACATAACAATAGCATATAGAGAATACATACCACATAAGAAAGGGTAACCTACAAAGAATATGTAACTAGTAGCAGATCTGGAATAACTAATCCAGCTAAAACAAGTTGCAACATCATATGTACAGTGACCTAGGAATTCTAAGAGTAGATTTACCTAGATTCGAGAATGAGTTAAGGACAACTGTGAGATGGTACGTAGTTAACCTCGTCTGCCAATCTTTAAAACTAGAGAGTTTTGAAAGAAAGTTCGGAGGGGTATAAAGACAACCCTCGCGTAACTTGTGTGTGATTGTGTACGACCAAGAGCCAATAGAAAAGTGATGACAATTCAATATGGCAGTACCAAAGCATGTGATAAAGAATATACAACCTGGGCATCTATGAAAGCATATACAACGTGATCATGATAAAGCATATACGGCCTGAAGCACATAACAGAGAATACATGACTTGAAGCACGCAACAGAGAATATGCAGCTTGAAGCACGTGACGAAGAATACACAACTCAAGGAAAATGACAAAGAATATACCTCTTGAACATCATGACAAGGAATAGACCCCATTGAAGCATGCGGCGAAGAATATACGACATGTATCAGAGAACATACAACTTGAAGCATGCGACAGAAAGAATGAAAGTTGGAGTATTAGAGAACCTATAATCCCTCAAGTAATTGATCGAATCCGCTGTGGTTAGAACCTGAAGTTTCCCCAGCAGAGTCGCCATGTTGTTGAACACTATTTTGCATGAGACAAAACAAGCTACAACTAATAATACTCTACAAGGTTGATTAAAGTTTAGAGTCTCCACCCAGCATTTAAGGTATACTAGGACACCTATACTACACTATATAATGTACACTAAATTATGATATGTGAAACCATTGAGATTCTAGGTAAGGGTTCAAGTTATCTCGAGGGGAAGGTGTTAGACATGCCTCAAGATCCACAAATGTGATTCCTGTGAACTCGATCAAATAAGGGAGATTCAAGTAAATACTCACTACTATTCACAAAGAATTCAAATAAGAGGGTTATTAACATATATCCAAATGAATAATTAAATACATAATAGATCATGTGCAAATAAAATATGTCATTGACTTTGTGTTTTGAAAACGAAATGATTAAGATATATTGAATCATATAGAATACATTAAGTGTAAAAAGAGTTATATTTTGAAAGAATAGACTAAGTGTGAAAATTAATTTCGACAAAGAATGATTAAATATGTAACAAAATATGCAACAAGAATGGAGTATGAAAAGTATTAAATATATATTAAAGAATTGTATCGTAGTGTGAGTTGAATAATATAAAAGAACTGTACTTAAAAACTACATATTGGCTTGAAGAATTTAAACAAAGATTCAAATTTCCCAAGAATAAGATTAAAAGAATCTACTTGCGATTTGAAGATAAAATTTTGAATGAGTGATTAAAGTATGAGAGAACATGCATTAAGGAGTAAAGTGAAAAAAAAAAAGGAATGATTATTTACATATGAGTAATTTGACCAAAGGAACAATGTGTGAAAATATTAGCATGAATAAGTAAGTGTTAAAAGAATGAAAATATAAGATATTATATAGTGATATGTGGAATATTTATAAATTAACTAAATGAATATTAATTAAAGGATACAGTTTGGAAGTTTTTGATTTATGTGCAAAGATTAACTATTTGAGTGAAAAGCTAGATATAGAAATTTACTCTAAATGATTGGTAAGAGTGAAAAAAAATAATTTTTGAACAATCTTAGTAGATAATGGATAAACTAAAAGAATTAATTTAATGAATGGAATGAGTATGGTATAGAAAAAATGTATCAAAATATTTATGACATAGAAAATTATCCTATCAATACAAAGAAATATTCGCACTAAAAAAGAGTTATCATTCAATGAGTAACTAAATACCATCTCTCGAGTCATAGTCTTGAAACATAAATTGTGAGTCAAGCCCAAATTACTACAAGGCCCAAGTCGCTAAAAGAAAAGCACAACAATTCAATTCTAATGTCTTTACAAATTATGTCTATTCAAAATGTGTTAGTTGAAGAATAATTTACATATAGAGAGGTCTGAAAGGCATGCTAGTATAGCTTTAAGAAAATACGATAAAATGATTTGTTTTTATTTTCATGAAAAGAGGATGAAATGTTTTATTTTAGGTATACAACTAACCAAATTGATTATGTGTATGTTAATTCTAATTGATTGACCAAGTTTAATATACATATTTAACAACCCAAGCGTTCATACAAATTATGTGAATTATCTAATGTATAATGTTACAAGTAACCGGAATATTACTAAATGCAATTCACCCTAAGTGTTTGAAAAATAGGTAAATATCAAAGCAAGCAAGAAAACATAATATTTATCTACTACTTTACTATACTTTGCGTTTTGGATACATCCAAGAATATGAAGTGTGAAGCGGGGAGCTTTGACGGGTACTTGTCTTTTCGTCTTTGGGTGACGTCTCCCGAAAGCAACTCCATGTGATAGTACCTCGCAAGACAAGAAAAGTAAAATTATTAGTAAAGTATAAAGCAAAATAATAAACTAATTTATTTTTTCTTGAAATGACTTTATTTAAAGACGTTTTTCGAATATTGTCATTTAAAAATGATTTAAGAAAATACTTTTAAATATTATTTTTGTTTTCTTTGAAAATGGTTAAGAAAATACTTTTTGGAAAGCAATTCTGTGAAAAAATGTTTTTCAAGATATCTTTTGGAAAGTAATTTTTGGAAAATATTTTTAAAATAATATAGGAAAACACTCTTTTTAAAATGATTTAAAAGAATTTTTGGAAGCTCAGATGGTGTATGCCATATAACAATAAGATATTAGAACATGAACGTCGACTTTGTAGCAACTCCGGTGGCCAACCATGTTGCCTCCTGAAGCACAGACATTCACATTCTCGTCTTTTGTTTTTCCTTTGGCTTTCGTCATCGCCTCATAAATGTATTTTGGTTCCGGATCCGAGAGACCGTGTAGTATCTTGTCTTTTATCAGTCAAAAATCATCACAAGGCCTCAAATATTTTGTTCTCATCGGCCTAATTTAACAACGCAGTATCTCGTTCAAATCAGTCAAGGTCCACTACAAACGTTCATCGAGAACAAACAGTGAGGCAAGAACAAACACTCCAAAATTCTCGAAACATAAATCATCAAAACACAGTAGGCAACGGTCCAAAAGAGGCAGCATCGTGACAAATTACAGCAGTTGAACGAATCCAAAGGACAAAGAAATACAAAGATAATTATTTAACAAAATCTTCTGCCTTTGGGACAAATTCGAGCAAACGACTAGGAAATAATATGGTGAGTTTAATGAACCATTTTCAGCAACACAACAAAGGCAATATTAGGTAGAAAAATAAACATTTCAAATCCCCTGGGGTTGCCGGAAAAACGTCAATCCAGCCAGAATATCCAACAGCAGCAATGGTATCACAATGTCACTATAACCAAATAAGCCTCACAAAATAATGAACGCATCACAAAAGAAAGGAGGTTCGCCGGAGATCTGGCCAAATAACAGAGGTCGACAGCGAAGGATGAAAAGCAATGGTTGTTGGCTTTACTTCCACGATGAACGCCAGAGTAACGCCTAACATCAAAGAAGTCACCGACGTTAGCTTCATTTCCGGCCAGATTCAAAACATCCCAAACCTCCCCTTTTTTGATAGCCTGTAAGAAGGAAGAAAGAGGAGAGTGAGTAACAGAAAATGAGCGAAAATAGAGGTCCAGATCTGCCGCTTTCCATGGAGGTAGCCGGTGTTTGAGTTTCCGGCTAGATCTAAAGCCAACGAGATCGAACCCTCAAAGCTAACAAACGATTAGGAAAATGGGAAAAAGGGGATAACTGCCAGCCATGGCCGTTGGTGGCTGGCCGACGACGAAAACAGGGGGGGCAAGGAGGAGCTTGGCGGCAGATCTCTCAAGTGATAGAGAAGATGGAGCTCTCAAAGGGGTTAGCGGTTGTTCTCCATTTTGGAGAATGAGAGAATGAAAATGTTTAGGGTTTCTCCTACAAATATTTGATGGGGTTGTGTTTGTGTAGTGTAAAATATAAGTGGGGTGTGGGTTAGGAAACTTAGGGGCCAAGATTTTTAGTAAAAAAAAAAGTAAATAACATAAAAGAAAATAGATGGTCAACAATGAAAGAAGGTCAAGTCACATCGATGTCATGTCGCGTCGATGTCTAGTCACATTAAATGTCTTGTCACATCGTATGTTGATGGAACATTGAATTTGACCGGACCTGATCCGTATATTTGTATTAAATTCCACTGGCTTCCATGTAATTAATAGACTATGCTATATAAGAAAAATATTTATTTAATCAATAAATATTGTAGTATTTATTTAAAATTGTAACTACTCTGATGACATAGTAATTAATTTTTTTTTTGAAAAGACAATAAATTAATATAATATCCTAATATTTGGAAAATAGGACAATCTTCAATAAATTGTTCGAAGTTTAGAAAAATGCACAAAAATTGTAGCATTTAACTAATTGCAATAAATGAAAGAAATTTTCATATTTTATAAAAATAGGAATATTTATCAATAAATTGCATTATAGTTAAAAATGTGCAAAATACTATATTTTATTATTTTTTGACAAGAAAACCTGCAGAATTTAATTTTTAAATACGGAGGGTCAAAATTGAGTGTCAATAAGTAGACTTTGGTGTTATCGAGGTCTGTTTGGGATTCCAAGCCTGAAAATAGTTCCGTATGGTAATTTATGACTTGCACACAAAATTTGGTGTCATTCCGAGTAGTCTAAATATGATTCGACGCGTTCGGAGCTAATTGAAAAGTTTGAAGTTCATAAGTTGATTCAAGTTAGTTTTGGGGTACGATTCGTGATTTCGATATTTTTTTACGTATGTCGAGGGTTCAAGCAGGTCCGTTTAAGTTCATGGACCTGTCGGTGCGATTGGTCGGGGTCCCGGTGTCACGCCCCGTACCTGGGCTTGGACGTAACACGGCACCCGATGCTTGACTACATGCGACTGAGTGAACCAACTGGCTGGCTGAATCAACATGTGATATCATAACATACTGAATGCGGAAGATAAACTAACACATGCTGATAAATTGAAAGTTTGGATGATTTAAATCAAAGTGCGGAAATACTAATACAATTCTGAAATATATTTATAGCCAACATAGCTTAACATGAAAAGTATGCGACTCTGTCTAACTATTGCTCTAGTTTATGAAGCCTCTAATGAAGTACTGAAAATACTGACTGTCTGAAAATACTGAAGACTGTAAGGTAATGATAATGCCCCGAAAGAACTGGGATCACCAAATAGCTGGTACGAGAATCCTAGCGCTCTGAATCGTCAACCTGTAAATTATTACCTGCATCGTGAGATACAGGCCCCAGGCAAAAAGGGACATCAGTACATTTAAATTGCACTGGTATATAAAGCAACTGAAAGAAAGAACTATAAATGCTAAAACTGAAACTAAGCTGATAACTGAGAATTGATAATTGATAACTAAAATGATAACTATTGAAACTAAAACTAAAACTGAAATGAAAACTGATAACTGATAACTGATATGATAACTGATAACTGATAACTAAAATAATAACTGATAACTGATAACTAAAATGATAACTGATAACTGAAATGATAACTGATAACTAAACTGAACAAAGGAAGTAAGGATATGAATACTCCCTCTTCTAAATGATGAACAACTTGTTTATCTGAATAAACTACGGACTCATGACCAATATATATGTGCACAAGCTACGCCCTCAGACCCAAGTATACGTATACATAACTACGACCTCAGGCCCAAAAATGCATAATGCATCAACTACGGCCTCAGGCCCAAACATGCATAAAGCATAAACTACAGCCTCTTGCCCAAATATGCATAAAGCATATAAACTACGACCTCAGGCCCAAATACAGGTTTTTAACATTCAGGGATTTAAATTCAGGAACTGAGAATTATACTACAATATGTGATGCTGAAATATTGAATCATATTGAGTTACATGATACTGGAATACTGAATAGGACTAGACTGAGGCATGTATTGTTGAACTGATTATGAAAACTGAAACTTTGAATGATTATGACATGCTGAGTAATCTAGAAAGAGACTCATGGGCATCGAACTCAGGTCTATATTGATTACACACTGAGCTCACAACGTTTAGAATGAAAGTCATGAATGAGTTATGGAGATAGATAATAGAAGTTCTGCAACTATTCAAGGAACTAGGCTTAACTATACTTCTGAGGCAATTAGTAACATCGTAAAAGAACGTAGTGTAGGGAGAATCATTAACATTACCAAACATAGAGAGTTAGCCTCACATACCTTAACTTCCTGCTCTTGAGCGTAATACAATATTCGCCAACTCTTTCAACTTTAATCTATATCAATACAAGTCAAAGGGATTCCATATTAGCAATAATACTCATGTTTTGGTCACTTAGGCCTTTTATCAAACACTTGGTAGGCATAAAGCTTCATAGTCCTTATTAATGGTGTTTCTATAATCAATAACCCATTCTCTTACTCATAGATAAATTCTAAAATCTCAAATTGCTATAATCAATACTATTCTTTATCCCATAAGATAACACACCCTTAATCAATAATCAACAATCAATAATCCAAACCTATAACAGTTCATGCTTTTCAATCAAACCCATCAACTCATATCTCATGACCTTAGAGTCTATAATCATTAATCCAATGCTATAATCGTTTAGAGGGTGACGATATTACCTTTTGATGTTCAATCATGTTGAATTCGAGTTCTAGGGTTTCTTTCCTCAACAATGATGTCCCAGTAGAATATCTAATGATTTGAAGGGTTTATACATGTTAATAATGTGTTGAACAATTGAAACTAACTTAGAATCACCATTAAAACTCACCTTGGATGGTGGAGGGACCTTGGGGGAGGTTAGGTTCTTGAGAGGTTTCCTTTCTAGAGCAAGTTTTTGTGTTTTGGGGTGTGGGGGATGAAGTAGGGCTTTAAAAATGACCCCCCGGGTGCGCTCCCACACACTTGAAGGCCTCGACCACGCACCTAACACCGAAAAGCACTATCACTGCCACAAGTGCGCGGCTGCGCATGGGACCATCCGGGCGCGCACTTGGCATGCATACTACGCATTCCTCAGTAAAATACACATAACGTTTTCCACAAAGATCCTTTTGGGCTACACAATATATCTTTGGAAAGCTTTTTCAAAGGGATTCAACTTTTGTGTTTTGAGTTTTCACAAATTCCTTACACCTTCACTACATCCTGCTGCAAGACATACCTTTTGTAAACTTAGTCGATTTTATCGAATCTTAAACACCTCACTCTCCGTCTTGATTCTAAAATAACTATTTCCACCCTCATACCGATAGAACTTTACATGTTCAAAATATAATATTACTACGCATTTAACACATTCATACCTAAGCCGAATTTACGGGGTGTTACATTTTCTCCCCCTTGGGATCATTCGTCCTCGAATGCTTGTCATGGCTGTAACCATGACTAACTCTGGACCTTAAACGGATCTGGTGGAAACATGAACTTTCATGACCACTTGCATACTAAACTGAATGAATATATGATTACTGAATTGTTGAGGTACTGAACTGAATGACTACTGCATTGACGGAATACTGGTCTGCCATGGATACGTGAATACTAAACTGACATCAATATATGAGTACTAAGCTGGCATGAATATCTGTATACTGGACTGACATGAGTATATGAGTATTGAACTGATATGAGTAAATGAGTATTGAACTAACATGAGTATCCGAGTACTGGAAACTTGAATGCCATAACATGACACGTGAAGTACTGGTGATGACCCAAAATGTTATCTTTAAATTTAATAATTAATTTTGTATTCTAAGACCTCGAAAAGCACTATTTATCATTTCTTGACTTGCGTGCGCAGCCCGTAAAATTTTTCGAAAAGTTTTCAGGTGAAAAATGAATTAAAATGTGAATTAGAGCCTAAAAACTCAATTGAGTTGACTTTGGTCAACATTTTGAGCAAACGGACTCGGATCAGTGTTTTGATAGTTTTGGTAGGTCCGTATCGTGATTTGGGACTTAGGCGTATGCCCGGAATCAAAATTCTGAGGTCCCTAGCCCGAGATATGGAATTTTGATGAAAAATTAAAAGTTTAAGTTCAAATAGTGGCCGGATGTCAAATTATGTGCAAACGACCCCGGAATAGAATTTTGATGATTCCAACAGCTCCGTATGATGATTTTGGACTTAGGAGCATGATCGTAATTTTATTTGGAAGTCCGTAGTGGAATTAAGTTTGAAATGCCAAAAGTTAAATGTTTGGAAAGTTTGACTGGGGGGTTGACTTTTTGATATCGAGGTCGGAATCCGATTCTGGAATTGGAATAGGTCTGTTATGTCATTTATGACTTGTGTGCAAAATTTGAAGTCATTCCGAATTGATTTGATGTGTTTCGGCACAAGATATAGAATTTGAAAGTTCAAAGTTCATAGATTTTGATTTGAGGTGCGATTCGTCGTTTTGATGTTGTTTGATGTGGCTTGAAGCCTCGACTAAGTTCGTATTGTATTTTGGGACATGTTGGTATAATTGGTTAAGTTCCCGAGGGTCTCGGGTGAATTTCGGAAGGTAAACGGAATGGATTTCGGACAAAGAAGGCTGCTGGAAATTTCTGTTGCAGAAATTTCTCCTGCGTGGAGCCAAATTTGGAAGCTTATATCGCGCAATCTATAAGGAATCAGAAAATATTTAAAACATAAAAGTTGTAGCCCTTTGATTCTAGTTTACATAAAGTTAAACCATTCATTATTTTGACATTTTTACAGAAAGTTATGATGGATTGAATGAAGGCTAGTAGAGCAATTTTGCCAGAAATTTCGCCAGAATTTCTGATGTGTGGAGCCGACTTTGGAAGCTTATATCTCGAAATTCATAAGGAATCGGAAGAGTTTCAAAACATAAAAGTTGTAGTTGTTGGATTTTAGTTTCCAGAAATTTACACCATTC